ACTGTAAATTTAGAAATAATTTCATGTATTTATTATTGTCATTGTAGATCAATGGACAAATTTGCGAGATTAATAATTAATAAGGTTATCAGAATTAAAAAAAAAAGGGGCTTAAATTAATGTGGTTATAAGCCTGACGCCTTTTTTTATAGTAATAAACATTATAAAAATTTCTAATATTATATATCCAGACTTTGGATGTACTAGTTTGTATGTTAACTTTGTAAAATCATGGTTTTTGTCGAGCCTGCGACTTTTGTCGCAGAAAGCTCGACATAGGGATAGTGATCCGGCGGCGGCGGCGGCGGCGGCGGCGGCGGCGTTAGCTAACTTCTTAAAAGCTTTATATTTTAGAAGGTGGAAGGTCTGGATGCTTCATACTTTGTATATGGATGCCTCATGTTACGAAGTTTCCGTCAGTCACATGTCCAATGTCCTTGACCTCATTTTCATGGTTCAGTGACTACTTGAAAAAAAAGTTCAGATTTTTTGTAATGTTAGATTCTCTGTTATTATAAGTAATAGGATAACTCTATTTGGTATGTGCGTACCTTGCAAGGTCCTCATGCCCGTCAGACAGTTTTCACTTGACCTCGACCTCATTTCATGGATCAGTGAACAAGGTTAAGTTTTGGTGGTCAAGTCCATATCTCAGATACTATAAGCAATAGGTCTAGTATATTCGGTGTATGGAAGGACTGTAAGGTGTACATGCCCAACTGGCAGGTGTCATCTGACCTTGACCTCATTTTCATGGTTCAGTGGTTATAGTTAAGTTTTTGTGTTTTGGTCTGTTTTTCCTATACTGTATGCCATAGGTCTACTATATTTGGTGTATGGAATGATTGTAAGGTGTACATGTCTAGCGGGCAGGTGTCATCTCACCTTGACCTCATTTTCATGGTTCAGTGGTCAAAGTTAAGTTTTTGAGTTTTGGTCTTTTTTTCTAATACTTTATGCAATAGTTCAACTATATTTGGTATGTGCGTACCTTGCAAGGTCCTCATGCCCGTCAGACAGTTTTCACTTGACCTCGACCTCATTTCATGGATCAGTGAACAAGGTTAAGTTTTGGTGGTCAAGTCCATATCTCATATACTATAAGCAATAGGTCTAGTATATTCGGTGTATGGAAGGACTGTAAGGTGTACATGTCCAACTGGCAGGTGTCATCTGACCTTGACCTCATTTTCATGGTTCAGTGGTTATAGTTAAGTTTTTGTGTTTTGGTCTGTTTTTCTTATACTGTATGCAATAGGCCTACTATAGTTGGTGTATGGAATGATTGTAAGGTGTACATGTCTAGCGGGCAGGTGTCATCTCACCTTGACCTCATTTTCATGGTTCAGTGGTCAAAGTTAAGTTTTTGAGTTTTGGCCTTTTTTTCTAATACTATATGCAATAGTTCAACTATATTTGGTGTATGGAAATATTTTATGATCTATTTGTCAGTCACACAGTTTTTTTTTTACCTTGACCTCTTTTTCAAGGTTCATTGCTCAGTGTTAAGTTTTTGTGTTTTGGTCTGTTTTTCTTAAACTAAAAGCAATAGGTCAACTATATTTGTTGTATGGAAGAATTGTTAGCTGTACATGCCTGCCTAGCATGGTTCATCTGACCTTGACCTCATTTTCATGGTTCATTGGTCAATGTTTAGTTAACTTGGTTAATAATAAGTTTATGTGACAGTTGTAATAAAGCTTTATATTTAGGACTATCAACATAATATCAATGATAAGTAAAGAAGGCGAGACATTTCAGTGTGTGCACTCTTGTTGAATCTATTGCAAGCTTGCTATAAAAGTTTACTGAGGGGAGATAACTACATAGTTTTAAGTTATCTTTGTTCTAATTACTTTGATATTGGACGCAATTTAAAAATACTAAAACTGAAAAAGGTGGCTTAAAATTTATTTTCAGACTAAATATAGCCTTTTTAATTGTTATTTAACAAATTTATGACCCAATTTTTACATGTATTCGAATTACTTTACCAGAAAACACACCCATTCATATATATATATTTTTGCACGCCTTGATACATATTAAATTGGCAGTTACATGTAACCTCCCTCACTCTTTACTCCCCAGTGGAAAAAACCTGTCACATAAGATAATCTATAATCAAACAAGACTAATTTTTCTCATCATATGATGCTTTTTCCCAACCACTCCATGACGTTTCTGGTATATGACATTTCAAAGCTATCCATAGTAATTAGTAGATTATTAGAATAATTATTAGAATAATGTTGTACTTAATTCTGTATGTTATGTAAGACACATGATGTGTTAGGCTCTGATCCTGTCCAATATATGATAGTATTATATTAGGATATAGTTTTTCTTTTTTCCAATCATATTGTGCTTAATATTGTTGTAAATGATGCCCTTTATGGGTTCTTGATTAGATTAATAAAATTCTTATCTTATCTTATCTAATTAGGCTCAAAATACAAAATACTTTTTGGTTGGCATACAGATATATATAAATCTTATGTAGATCAGATTTTAGTCGGGGCTATTAGTCACTTTGAATGCTTATATTCCATCTTAGTTTGACTGCTGATCTGCTTCTGTCAGTTCTGAGGATTAAAAAAAGGTGAAGATGTACAATCCAACAATAGAGTCAGGGCACCATGTAATAGTAAATTTTATGTTATGATATTTGAAAAATATTGACACTATGAATGTGCTGAATGAAACAAAAACAAAAAAATCAGTTCTATGATTCCCAAGTTTTTTTCTTTATTTCATAATTCCTTATTAAGCCTATCAGTTGCAACTGGTAATGTTTTTATAATAATTCTAAAATAAAAGTCTCATAAACAGAAATTTGGGAGGACATATTTATGATCAAATTCTTATTTGTAAGCATTAGAAGCAGATTAACTTAACTTTTCTCCAGGATTTTTATTTATTGATTGTATACTTCCAATTTAATCATAATATTGGGTCACATCAATTTCCTTCAACAGCTTCAATTCAGAAAATTGGATAAAAAGGGGTGTGTCAGGTGGGTGGAACACCATCGATTTTCCTTCCAGTGGGAGTACGGATCAATGCTGGAATGTCTACAGCAGCTGAAAAAACACAAAAAATCTTTAACCTCATTAGAATTTGAGCAATGGATTGTATAAGTGTATGTCATGTCTAGGGTACACACTGAGAGCCTGGAAGGATGTATTACACACCCACGTTCTCTGTTTACACACAAAATATATAATACTATCGTTTCAGTGAAGGGATACTTGATTAACATGAAAATTACATCATTTAATGTTGAAATACGATCAGAAGGTACAGTTTTATCTTTTTTCTTGATTTCTATATTTAACTGTCTTCTTATTACTGTTTTTATTTGTGTGGATAATATTAGTTTAGTGGTAATCTTTTAAGTGGGCACTGCTGAACAAAGGAATTTTTATATCAATAATACTTATAATTGTAAGTTGATTTTACCAGTATGCATTCAATGAAATATAATTTAAGATTCAAAGAGTTAAAACATGAAATAAATTTTAGAGTAAGGTTATAATAATTGTGACATGGCTTTTTTGTTGTTGACATATGTAATTGCTTCCCTTTGTTCGAGGTTTTCACTGATTTGAAGGATATATAAGTCCTGTAAGTGTTGTAATATGTTGAACTTTTTATAATCTGTGAGATGAAGTAATACAAAATCCCAAAACAATTCTTCCTAGATTACATTAATACCGTTGATTTATTAGTCCTGAAAATCAGGTCTGTTTTTGTTTTCTTTTCTTTGACTAGTCAAATTATTTATATGCCCCACGTAAGGGCATTATGTTTTTCGATCTGTGCGGCCTTTCGTTCGTCCTTCCGTTCGTCTGTCCTGCTTCAGGTTAAAGTTTTTGGTCAAGGTAGTTTTTGATGAAGTTGAAGTACAATCAATTTGAAACTTAGTACACATGTTCCCTATGATACGATCTTTCGAATTTTAATGCCAAATTAGAGTTTTGACCTCATTTTGGTCCAATGAACATAGAAAATAATAAAATGATAGTGCGAGTGGGGCATCCCTGTACTATGGACACATTCTTGTATCTTTCTTAGACAAGATGTTGTGAATTTAAAAGTGAGTAAGCTAAATTTTAAAAGCCTTTAAGTCTAACAACAGCATTCAGTATTGACTGATTTTCCAAATTAGACTTCAAGTATATATTTCTTTTTCTTTTCCAAGCACATGCATGCTACTGTCATTATTTTAAACTTGTTTGGTCTAAAAGAAGATCCCCCCCCCCACCCCCGAAAAAAAATAGATAAAAAAAAAACACCTACAAAATCTGACATTGTGTCATTGTACAGTTGGTACTAGAGTCTTATGTAATTCTTCTATAGCAAAGTAAAAATAAAACTTAATGGAAATCTGAAATAGAAATTTGTAGCCTAAGCATATTAAAACACATTTCCTACATAAGTGTGACTTTAGTGCAACTTTTTTAAAATTCCAAAATGACAACTGTACCAGCCAAAGATTGAACCCCTAAGCTCAGCTTAAGTAGATCTTGAGTGTATATATAAATCTACTAGGTCCAGGGTAACACTGCTATTTTTCCAAACCTCAAGACTTATACCAAAAAAAAATTATTAACATAATAAGCAGATTGAAAAGTTCAATCTCGTTTTATTTTTTGTTGGTTTTTCAACTGGTAGGCCTTAATGTATGTAAGGGACGACATCAAAAGTTCAATGTAGGATAAAAAACTTAATTCACATAGTTTTTTCGCTGTCCCCCCCCACCCCCTCTTAACTTAATTTGAGAAAAATTGATTGACCAATATGGATATATGTAAAATCGATTTTGGATAAACAAAACTTGAAGCAATTTTAACCCCCCCCCAAACTATTTGATTTTAGTTTTTTATCCTACATTGATCTTTTGATGTCGTCCCTAACTGTAGTTCATTATTTCTATCAAAATTACCAGTTTACCAACAAATATTAATAAAAGAATATTATATATTCATTTTTTGCAGGTAAATACCATGACAGAAGATTCATTACCAACTGCTGCAGTAAGCCAAAAACGCCAACATAGTCCCATCTATAATAATTCAGACCATTCTTCATTTGACAATTCAATCACAGACAATAGTCCAATGGAAGAACCTCGATATAAATTAATGAAATTAGAGGAAATAATGGACACACATGGACAGCAAGTGTTGTACAAAGATTCACATATGCCGATTTCTGTGAAATTGGAACCTCCTAGTCCTGAAAGACATCAGGATTATCTGTCACAAGTTAATTTTCCAAATGAATTTGAAATGAGGGATAAAGATGTCAATTTATCATCTCCATTGCAGATTAAAAATAACTTTCATATAAAATTAGAACCACAGGACGGAGAGGGAAGTTTTTCATCACCAGATTTAAGTCCTGATTCTCCGATGTCTTCTTCTAGTGGGAGTTATCTCCCTGGAGTTCCATCACCAATCCAATCACAGGTGCTAAAAGATGAGGATTCAAATTCATTTAAAAATGCTACAGTGAAAGCAGACGACCAACATAAACAATTGCAGCTGATAAAGCTTAGTCAAATTAGATCAGCATTTTGTAATATTAATCGAAGTAATGATAGACCCAAATCAGTTGGACAGATGTTTGCATTAAAGAAACGAATCAAACAGGCCCAGCTAAATGGAGATTCCTCCCTGTCAGAAAATTCAAAAAGACTAGTCAAGATCTTGCCAGCTCCTGGAAAGGTAAATAATTTATGATATATGGCATATTTCTATTGAAACCAGGGTTCTCACTAAGGCGATTCCATGAGTCCAGGACTCATGAAAATCTGTCTGGACTCACCATTTTCAAAACTGGTGAGTCCAAAGATGCATCAAGATTGAAATATTTTGTATAAACTGAACTCGCACATCATTTTATAGCGAAAGTTTAAAAGTAATCTGAATTTAATGTCATTCCATTGCTCTATTAGGTTATGGAGACTAAAATGATGAATTATATTGCAATAAGATATCTTCTTCTTACTGTTGGACTCACCATGGCCAAAAATGACGAGTCCCTGGACTCTCCTTCAAAAATCCTTAGTGAGAACCCTGGAAACTAAGTGACTAAGCATGCAAAGATACGGGCTGTCTGAAAAAAAAGACAAGACAAGAGCTGTTCCAGAATTGATTATTATGGTGGCCAGGTTGGTAGGGACTTCTAATAAAAGTTGTTTAGGTGGTTATTATTTAAGTAAGATGCAGCCTGAGTAATTAAATGCTAATAATCAATTAAAGTTTAATGCATGGCAGGGTAAAACAAAATGTGATTACCAACCCCCCACCCCCCCTCCCTACATTTATTTCTGGAACAACCCCAAAATCTTTGAAAAATTTCCTAGGTTTTTATTTTTGTACACTTTGTGCAGCTAGAAGATATTGAAATTGTCTATGAGAGTGAAATTTTTCCTGACGTCTAAGACTGTGTGAAGTACTTTTCTTCTTCAACCAATTTCTTATTTTCAGGGAGGTAATTCACAAACTTGATTCGCTATGACTTGATGGCATAAAGATTTATTTTCTTTCTAAGATTTATGACAGAATTCGCTATCTGAAAGTCTGTAATGAGCAGATTTTAGTTTTTACATTGTAAATCAAAATTCTGTCGCTGATAAACATAATAACATATTTGTTTAGTGAGATTTTTGAAAATGATGTTCTTCGAAAATATTTTATTGACAAATTTTAAGCTTAAAGTGGGTTGCATGATAGACAGAAATCAAACAAAAAATAAATGTAAGAGGGTGATGAGACCTTTATTTTAGAAAGACAAAGGTTCAGAGGAAAATTTGACTTATAAATCATGTAATGATTTATAGTTTTATTTACCTTACGGGATTCTATGTTCTACTGATCTTTCAAATGATCATGGGATTGTAGGCGGTTAAGTAAAATGTGATGCTATATCACATTGTGAACAAAAAATTGTTACTTGTATGTAATGAACATTATACATGTTATATGGGTAAAGAATGGAACAGATGGGTACCATGTCGCTAGAGGTAAGACTTAACTGATTGTATATCAGTCTTTATATACCATAGTGTTTGCCTTACATGTCCATGTTTCTGGTTATAAATTCAATAAGCGATATGGCACCTTTTCAAGGTGAACTGGGAAATATTGTAACACTAACTAAATTATAAAAAAACTGAAGCAAATCTTTTTTGCCTGCCATTTTGTGCAGATGTATCATTAAGTTTTTTGAACAATTGCAATTTCTGTCTACAAGGTCAAGGTTACAAACTTAAACCTACAAAGTTGTACCTGACTAAGAACTGTTGAATGCTTTGAAGGATATTAATGATACTTGGTATGAATGTTATTCACCGCCATGGGCTGTATCACAAATAAGGTTTGAATATCTGTGCTAGGTCAAGGTCACAAACATAATTTCAAATATATAAAGTAATATCAGAACTTGTTGATGCCTAGAAGGATATGTATAGCAGGGGTGGATCCAGCCATTTATAAAAGGGGGGTTTGGGTTGTTCCTAACCCAGGATTAAGGGGGGGTTCCAACTATATGTCCCTATTCAAATGCATTGAACATCCAAAAAAAAATGGGGAGTTCCAACCCCTGGAACCCCCCCCCCCCCCCCCCCTTTCCCCCCTGGATCTGCCACTGTATAGTACATGATATTATTGTTGTCTTGACCATCAGAGGGTGAAGTTCAACTCTACATCCCCATATTCAAATATGCAAAGTCGTGTCAAACTTGAATGCCTTACAGTAACGGATATAAAGGATGCTAGATATTATTGTTGCCCTGCAACAAGAGGGTGTGTTGCAAATAAGGATACAATGTCATTCTACAAGGTAGAGGTCAACCCTATGTATATTAATATGTATACAAGGGCTGGGGAGATAATTTTGTGGGCTTTAGTTGTACATGTAGTATCTTTAGTTTCAATCAAAAACCAACTATTTCAATAGTCTGGTAGCTTACAAAATATACAGAATCTTGCATCGGTTTCACATCTGATGATTTAAGGAGTTACTCTTTCACTGACTATTACAGCTTACTTGAACATTTACTTCAGAGTCTCAGCATATTATTTACTAAAATCTGGATAATATGTAGGTCTTATTAGTCTATAACAGAATATATCAATAGATCCACACAAACAGTAGTTCCCTTGTTTTTGGCAGACTACAAATTTTGGACTTCTGGTAGCATCTACCTAGATTGGATCTTACCCAGTAGCAAAAACAAAATGTACTGACCAACCCTCCCCAGTTTGTTTGGCCATTTATATTAAGAAATATTTTGTAATTATTATTATTAACCTCTTGTAAAAAAAATCAGTAAGTCTAATGTTTTTCACAAATGACACAGAAAACCAAAATAAGTGTGTATATATGTATATATAATTAATTCTTTTATTTGTTTTTGCTGGCTAGCTGTAGGAAGCTAGCTAGAGTACACAGCTGATGTACTAGATGAACACTTTTACTTGGTTATTTTTTTACATCGGCTCAGTATGAGACCAGTTCATTAAGGACAGACTGTGGTTTAATGTCGACTCTCGGTACAAACAACTGATCTTTTACAAGTATCATACAATCCTCCTGTTCATTTTCTGCATCATTTGTCAGATGCTTAAATATCTGATCATCAAAATATTAAATATTTATATGCATATTCAAACTTTCACACCTTCGCACCTTCACACCTTACAATTTTTAAATCGGTCAATGTATGTTTAAGTACTTATAGTGTATTTAAATATTATTATAAATGTTACATCATTGTACAAAAGATGTTTTTACTTTTGATCTGTGTTTTTTCCTGCCAAAAATTCAATAAGTGCAAAAATGACTTTTAAAGAACTTACTTGACCTGTGTTAAGAGAAAAAGGCTTAAAGGAAGTACAGAATGTGTTGTTAAAGTGTTTTAGTACCCAATGAAAGGTGTGAAATAATGATTTTACAAATACATATTTTCAATTTTTTAGAAGAAAAAGTATACATTTATATCATGGATTCATTTAATTTTCATAGGTACCAATTTTCTATATTCAGGAAAAATTGTGTATCTACATACATGAATAAATGAACATTAATGTAACCTTTACAATCATTACACATCTTCTAATTTGTATGTTAACACTTCGTTAAAAATTTACCCTTTACCCACAAAATCTACGAAAATTAGTTCCCCTCAAACAATAATGAAGCCACAGTAAATAATATATGCCTGTAATATGATGAGATGCCGTTTTTTTGCCTATAAGACAAATATACATTGAAGTTCAAAAGCTAGGGCAATTAAGGTTTTTTGCAGAGAAATGCATTACAAACCTGTGGGAAATAAGATTGAAAAGTATGAAATATTTGCTAATTAAGATATGAAAAATTAGTACAATGGGAAAAAACATTCTCAGAAGTATGTAACTTCTCACTTTTATAAGGCTAGGAAAAAGTCCTGACTATACAGGAAATATTTGTAGTAAAGCAAATTACAATCTTTTGATCAATACTAGGCACATTTTCCTGTACCAATGCAAGCTATCTTGACCATATGTAGTTGGTTGTTGTTTTATCTTTACTTTCACATTTATTTTTTGGAGAGGTCATATGTTGGTGGTTTGCTGACACACTGGCCTATTGTACTGTCCAATATTTTTTGTTATTCCTGTTATACTTTTTATGTGTGAGAAAAAAAGGTTAGAGATTTATACCATCAAAACAAATAAAAATAAAAAAAAAATAAAATTAAGTGTTTAAATGTTAACATTTATTTAAAGAGATTACAATCCATAATGTTTAATTTTATGGACAAGGAAATTTATAAATTTATTTGTTTGTTCATGACAAGGATCACGTCAGATTAAATTATTGATTACTTAAAGGCTTACCTACATGGCCTTGAAAATTTACTTTCCTTGGCCTTAGACCAAAGGGGTGTGACACCTGGCGTGTTTCCCAAGAACAAAGCTAGCACGCCCATTAATAGTTAACCTGGTGTAATCGGATAGGGAGATATGCTACAATAAAGTGTCCTTATCACAACACTCAATCTAAACCATTGTATTATAGTCCTCAAGATGGCCTGGAAAGTACATATACCGATTATGACAATTTTGTAATGAGATATTCGAACCTCTGCTAGGGATGCACCCCCAGGGCGATGGCTTTTAAAAATCATTTGTCAGACATTGAATACATTGTTTTGTAAAGGCAGGAAATCTAATTTAAAAATGTATGGTAGAGGCAGAGAGAAGTCCTTTAGTGATTTTATGACAATGCCAATTAAGAAATTTTGCCGTGAAGGTTTTTGAAAATAATTGCATGTTGTTGTAAAAAAAAGTTCACTGTGGGTTTCCGCATATACATTTAACTGTTGAGTGAAAAATCTAAGTCATTTTTAGGCAACACCAGGTAATTGTGCTGCTTAAAAAATATTTTTGTAGTTAAAATTGTTTTTCCTATGAAGTAATTTCATACACAGTGTTGTACAGACCAAAAGGAAAAGAAATTAAAAAAGTTGTGTTTGCCATTTAACATACTTACAAATGCAACAGATTTTCATCCTTTTTATATTTGAACATATGCTACATTAAAGTTATCTTGCTGTCAGAATTCCAGCCGATGGTAGATATTTGATATAATCTTAAATTTTTCACAACTTTTCTGTACTGGGCCATTCTGAATTTGACAACAAAGTATGTTGACCTCAAGATGTCTTTTGGGTTTT